AGGAATGCACTTAAATTTCTCAGAACTACTCAGGACACTTCAAACTGCTCAAACAAAGAACTGGCACTCTTGACAGAACTGTGTTTTAATGCCGCACACTACACACGTGCATGGACAAAGAGACTTTGCTCAGCCCGGGTCATTGCTATTTGTGCACAGACGTGCCTGGACATGCACAGATTTGCAGGGCTATTTGGGGAGACGTGCCAGACACAAGCGTCTTGAATTTATTCCTTCATTTTCTCTCACAGCCTATTTTCAAACTGCCTTCTGAAGACAAAAGGCAGCAAACAACTGCATGACCACGGAGTCGGAGGTGTTTACACACCGCAGGTCAACCGGAAAACATGACACAAGCAGGGTGACACACCAGAAGACCTCCTGAGTGACTCTCCTGACCGTGATCCCCACTGGGACTGACCAAGGAAGGAACACAGAAGCCAAGGGAGATGACTTGTCTGTTGCTCATGGCTACTCGATGACAGAGGCAGCAAGAGTCTACCAGTCTTACAGCTCCTAGATTCATCAGTCTCCACCCTTCTGGCTCAAGGGGATATCTGAAGTTTTCATAGTGAAGAAAGTATTAAGTAATGAACAAAGGTTTTATTATTCCTGGCTGCCACTCAGGACCTTTTGTTATATAAAAGAATAATAATAAAAAAAAAAAAAATCAATATATGTGGTCTACATGTCTAGCTGGCATTTGTTCTGGATGTTTGTTCAGTTCTTCTTGTACCAATATTTTCTTCAATGCTGATAATTAACCCACATCAAATTACGTCACAGAATGTCCTCGGTAATTAATGCAACCAGACACAGGCAGCTAAGCATCAATTTGCAACAGCAGCCTCATTTCAAGGAATCCCAGCTCTTAAAGCACAACTGCTACAGCATGAATACTCCGAGCACAGAGTATGAGGACAAGCTGACTCACTAACCAAACTCAGATCAAGATCAAGACACTTTTCCAAGCCACCAACAAGCAAAACCGTTATGACAAGCACAGGATGGTGTGAGAGACAGACAATTCATCCACTGTTGGTCTTTCAACTGGTACAAGCAAGGCTCGCTGACACTAGGTAAATCCCCAGAGAAAGCAACGCTTCACTTTTCCCCAGAGCCAAGAGGAGAGGGAATTCAGCTCCACACGCTGCCTTTATCTACCGCTGCCTTTCCTCTAAAGAGAAGTGCTTCCCAGAACTAAAGGCAGATCTCCCAGAGGACTGAACCTGGGATGGCAATACTCAGCCCAGAGAGGCTGAGGTGAAACCTCTATGTTTGTCACCTAGCCAGGGGCTCCAGCTGACCTACAGGACACACGCATACATGTCTTACTGCAAAGTG